GCTGAACGTGGGAGTCAGTGTCCTCCAGGGACAGTCCCAGAGCTGCCAGGCCCAGTTATTTCATCTTCTGAGAGCCAGCAAGCAATGAGCACTGAGACCAGGTTGGGTCCTTACTGGGGACATGTTAAATACTTCCAACAAACACGCTCCTCAGAAGTGTGTTTGATCCCAGGGTGGTGGGTTTTCATGGAGGTTTTACTGAAGTGATGTCAATTCTCTGGTAATTGTTTTGCATCCAGAATGGTGGGGGTTGGGACCTCTGAAGATCATCCAGTCTAACCCCCTGCCAGAGCAGGATCCCCTACAGTAGATCCCACAGAACACATCCAGATGGGATGGGAATGTCTCCAGAGAAGGAGACTCCACAGCCTCCCTGGGCAGCCTGTCCCAGGGCTCTGTCACCCTCACAGGAAAGAAGTTTCTCCTTCTGTTTAACTTGACCCTCCTGTGCTCCAGTTTGTGCCCATTGCCCCTTGTCCTGTCACTGGGCACTGCTCAGAAGAGATTGGTCCCACCCTCCTGACACCCCCTGGAGATATTGATAAGGGTTGATGAGATTCCCCCCTTCAGCCTTCTCTTCTCCAGGCTGAACAGCCCCAGCTCTCCCAGCCTTTCCTCACAGGGCAGATGCTCCAGGCCCTTCATCACCCTCTTGTCCCTGTGCTGGACTCTCTCCAGTAGTTCCTTGTCCTTTATAAACTGGGGAGCCCAGAAGTGGACTCAGTTCTCCAGGTGAGGCCCCCCCGGGCAGAGCAGAGTGAAAGGAGAACCTCCCTGACCTGCTGGCCACACTCCTCTTGATGCCCCCAGGATGGCACTGGCCCTCTTGGCCACCAGGGCATGTTGCTGGCTCAACTCATTGCTGCCTTCCTGTGCAAGTTAAAATAACATCACAAAAGTCATAATCCCTGAAAAACTGTGGGAAGCCCAACGTTGTGAAATAAAAGGACTTGGTTTTGTTCTCAGAAAGAAAGAAAAACATTAGAAGTAGTTCAGCAGAATGCCTTTGGTTATCCCAAGGTGTGGAATTTGTTCCTCTGAGCCATGTGTGACGTCTCAGCTTTAGTATTTCTGGAATAAAACCTCTCCCCTTGCTCCTGACCAGATCCAGGTCCAGCATCCAGCTGCCAAATCCATGATTGAGATCAGCCGCACCCAGGATGAGGAGGTTGGAGATGGGACCACATCTGTGATCATCCTGGGTAAGGAGGGGGTGACAAGGTCACAGAATCAGAGAGTCTTTAAGGTTGGAAAAGGCCTCTAAGATTATCAGGTCCATCTGTCAGGGTTAAGGCTGAAATTAGCCCTTTTTGCTCGTCAGAGCCTGGTAATTGTGCCTTGGTAAGACAAATATTCATTATTTACCAGGCCTAAAAGAGAACTCTGGGTTCATTGCAGAATCACAGCATCACCTTGGTTGGAAAAGACCTTGAAGATCACCCAGTCCCACTGTTCCCCCAGCACTGCCAAGGGCACCACTGCCCCATGTCCCTCAGCACCATCTCCAGGGCTTGGAAACCCCTCCAGAGATGGGGACTCCACCCTGGGCAGCCTGGGACAGGCTCTGACAACCCTTCCCAGGAAGGAATTGTTCCCAAGATCCAACCTCAACCTCCCCTGGGCAACTTGAGGCCCTTTCCTCTTGTCCCATCAGTTGTGACTTCATTGAACAGACCTAGCCCCACCTCTTTACATTCTCCTCCATGCTTTGGAAAGTTTTGTTCTTTCCCTGAGGTGGAATCACAGATTAGGACAGGGCTGGGGCAGCCACAGCTTCTCTGGGCAAGCTGTAAATTAAAGGCACAGTTAATTAAAAGAGAGTTGTAGTTGATGTTAGTGCTCCCTACATGGATAATAGATACTTCTCTGGTCTTCTCCTGTCTCAACTCTTGGTTGCTCTGCCGACTTCTCTGTCACATTTTGATATTTTTCTGGGTTTTTGGGTTCTGTTTTAGCTGGAGAGATGCTCTCTGTTGCTGAGCAATTCCTGGAGCAGCAGATGCACCCAACTGTGATCATCGGGGCTTATCGCAAGGCCCTGGATGACATGATCAGCATCCTGAAGAAAATTGGGTAAGTGTGAGCTGGGGTGGGTGTGGGATGTGCTCATGGGTGGTTCTTCAGGGAATGATGGTGAAATCCTAGAATCATGGTGGTTTGGATAGGAAGAGACCTGGAAGATCATCTAGTTCCAAACCCCCTGCATGGGCACCTCCCACTAGAACTTAGAATCAGAGGGGTTGGAATGGACCTCTGGAGATCAGAGTCCAACCCTCCTGCTGCAGCAGGAACACCCAGGGCAGATCCCACAGGAACACATCCAAATGGGTCTTGAAAGTCCCCAGAGAAGGAGACTCCACATCTCAGGGCAGCCTGTCCCAGGGCTCCCTCACCCTCACAGCAAAGAAGTTTCTCCTCATGTTGAGGTGGAACTTCCTGTGTTGTCACTTGGTGCCGTTTCCCCTCGTCCTGTCACAGGCACCACTGAACAGAGACTGGCCCATTCCTGACACCCCCCTGCAGATATTCATAGACATGAATCAGGTCCCCTCTCAGTCTTTTCTTCTCCAGACTAAACAGCCCCAGGTCTCTCAGCCTTTCCTCATATGACAGATGTTCCAGTCCCTTCATCATCCTTGTAGCCTCTGTTGGACTCTTTCCAGTATTTCTCTGTCCCTCTGAACTCAGCAGCCCATGAACTGGACACAGTAGAATTGGAGATTGACTCAGTGGGATTATGACTTGATTATAGCTTGGAATAACAGTCATGGTGCTGTTTGGTTTTCCCTTGGGGTCAGCACTCCAGTAGATGTAAACAACAAGGAGATGATGCTGAAAATCATCAAGAGTGCCATCAACACCAAGGCCATCAACCGCTGGGCCGACCTGGCCTGCAGCATCGCGCTGGATGCCGTCAGGACCGTGGAGTTGGAGGAAAATGGCAGGAAGGAGATTGATATAAAAAAATATGCCAAAGTGGAAAAGGTGAGTGTGGCCTGAGCTGTGTCTGACCTGTGGGCCCCTTTCCCATTCCAGATTCCTTGTTCCCAGGGTACAGCAGGGAGAACATGATGCCACAGATCTACTGTCTGCAGACACAACCCTGGAAGGTTTTTTTTGGTCTGTGCCTTTGGCCTTGTTGGTTTACACTGAAAACAGAGTCAACTCTTTCAGAATCTTGGTCAGAAAGATCATTTAAGCTGTTTCATTTTCCATCTGCCAAGCACATGCTGCCAGGGATTGGGATGGGGAGGCAGTTTCTCCAGTTTCTCCACAGCTTTTCATGTGATCTACGTCAATGTGCTCTTAAAATGAATCCAGATTGGGACCTGGATGCGTTTGGGTTTCTGGAAAGAGTTTTCCAGTCCATGGGATGGATGGAGCAGAGGTTTCTGGAGAGCAGATTGACTTGCCTCGTTTTCCCTCTTCCTTTGTCTGCCAGATTCCAGGTGGATTCAGTGAAGACTCGTGTGTCCTGCGTGGGATCATGGTGAACAAGGACGTCACCCACCCCCGGATGAGGCGCCTCATCAAGAACCCCCGCATTGTCCTGCTGGACTGTTCCCTGGAGTACAAGAAAGGAGAGAGCCAGGTAAAGCCAGGCATGGAGGCAGAGTGGTCAGGGTTGGAAGGGACCTCTGAACATCATCCAGTCCAGCCCCCTGCTAGAGCAGGATCACCTACAGTAGATCCCTCAGGAACACATCCAGATGGGTTGGGAATGTCTCCAGAGAAGGAGACTCCACAGCCTCCCTGGGCAGCCTGTCCCAGGGCTCCAGTGACCCTGAGGGACACCACAGGACACAGATCTCCAGCCAGACTCTGCTCCACTCACCACAACTCTGAGCTCTGCCCTTCAGGCAGTTCCCAGCCCACCTCCTCAGTCCTGTGAGAAATGTCCACAGGTTTTCCTTTAAGACTAGTAAAGCCAACAAATCCTGGCAGCTGATGAAAAGGATGAGCAGCAAAAGGCTCTTTCTCCGTCTTCTGCCTCTCAGGGAGCTTTTGCAGGTGTCAGGAAGTGGTGCTGTGGGATCAGTAGGAAAATACCACTGAGGCTCCAGTGCTTGTGCTCCCTGAAGCAACTGCAGGCATTTTGTGTCTGAGGGGTGGCCAAGAGTCCAAGACAGACTCTATGCTTTAATGTTGAACTGACACAGCATCAGAGTTGCTTTGATGGGTGTTTTGCAGTGGGCAGTTGTGCCCAGGCAATGTTGGAGGAGTTGAGATGGCTCAGGCCAGGGGGTCTGTGTCTCACTGGGTGGGGAGGAAGGTGCTCACAGCCCTTTCTGTGCAGACCGACATTGAAATCACACGGGAGGAGGATTTTGCCCGCATCCTGCAGATGGAGGAGGAGTACATCCAGCAGATCTGTGAGGACCTGGTGAGAGTCAAACCTGATCTGGTCATCACAGAGAAAGGAATTTCTGGTAAGAGCTCCTGGGATCCCTCTTTACGTTGGATTCATCATGATAAGCTTCATGTGTGTTAAATGTTCAGTAACTTTAAAAAAGAACCCAACACCAAACTAAACCACACAATCCCCCCTGCCTGATTTTGAACTTCACCCTGGTTTTGGTTTAGTTTTTAGCTTTCTAGAAGGCAGCCCAACATGACAGGCAGTGAAGTTGGTTCTTGGGGTTGCCTTCTCTACATTGACTCTTCCCATCATGTTTTGCTTTTCCAGTATTTAGAAACAATACCAAAATACAAGTAAGGAGGAGTCTGGCACAGGAAGGAAAGCTGTACTGATTTCCCCTTGCACCTCAGCTTAAGAAGCTACATTGAAATCTTTCTAGAATACTTTTTACTTTAAAAGACATAAATTTTCATAGGATGGTGGGGGCTGGAAGGGGCCTCTGAAGATCATCGAGTCCAACCCCCCTGCTCCAGCAGGAGCACCCCCAGGTGGTCACAGAAAAACACACCCAGACAGGTCTTGAAAGTTCCCAGAGAGGAGACTCTACAGCCTCTCTGGGCAGCCTGTCCTAGGCCTCCCTCACCCTCATGGTCAAGAAGTTCTTCCTCATGTTGAGGTGGAACTTCCTGGGCTCCAGTTTGTGTCCATTTCCCCTTGTCCTATCACAGGCAGCACTGAGAAGAGCCTGGTCCCTCCTCTTGACACCCACCCCTCAGATATTTATATACATTAATCAGGTCCCCTCTCAGTCTCCTCCAGACTAACCAACCCCAGGTCTCTCAGCCTGTCCTCATATGACAGGTGTTCCAGTCCCTTCATCATCCTTGTAGCCTCTGTTGGACTCTTCCCAGTAAATCCCTGTCCCTCTGAACTGGGCAGCCCAGAACTGGACACAATGCTCCAGATGTGTCTCTCCAGGGCAGAGCAGAGGGGGAGGAGAACCTCCCTGACCTGCTGGCCACACTGTTCTTGATGCTCCCCAAGACACCATTGGCTCTCTTGGCCAGGAGGGCACATTGCTGTCCCATGGATCGCTTGTTGTCCACTAGGACCCCAAGGTCCTTCTCCATGGGGCTGCTTTCTAGCAGCTCAACCCCAAATCTGTCCTGGTGCCTGTTGTCCTGACACTGTTGATCCATCACTAAAGTTGCACAAACCTGATTCCAGACTTGGCCCAGCACTACCTGATGAAGGCCAACATCACCGCCATCCGCAGGGTCAGGAAGACAGACAACAACAGGATTGCCAGGTGAGTGTTGTCTCCTCTCTGGACCCCATTCTGGTGGCCTCTGGTGTGAAGTTTTGGTTCTTCTCTCTCCTTTCTCCCCAGTTTTACCTGTGAGATCTAACGTGCCCCTTGTCTCTGTGCCAGGGCCTGCGGGGCTCGCATCGTCAGCCGCACCGACGAGCTGCGGGAGGAGGACGTGGGCACTGGAGCCAGGCTCTTTGAGGTGAAAAAAATAGGTGATGAGTATTTTGCCTTCATCACTGATTGCAAAGATCCCAAGGCTTGCACCATCATTCTGCGTGGAGCCAGCAAGGAGATCCTGGCGGTGAGTGGTGACTTCCCTCCTGCCCTGGTGTCCGGGAATCCTTGCTGCCTTTTGAGCAGCTGTTGGGTGGGTGAAACAAGAGCAGAGGGGAGATGGAGATGAGATCTGAGGAGGAAACTGTTCACTGTGAGGGTGGTGAGACACTGGAATGAATTGCCCCAGGAGGTTGTGGCTGCCCCATCCCTGTAAGTGTCCAAGGGCAGGTTGGATGGGGCCTGGAGCAGCCTGGGCTGGTGGGAGGTGTCCCTGCCCATGCAGGGGTGGGACTGGAGGAGCTTTGAGAACCTGAAGCATTCTGTGTTCTGGAGCACCAGACAATTCCCATGCTGTGGGCTGGGCAGGGGAGGCACAGCCGGGCTGTGCTGTGCTCAGGGTCCCTGCCAGCTCTGACCTGTCCCTGCCCCCCAGGAGGTGGAGCGGAACCTGCAGGACGCCATGCAGGTCTGTCGCAACGTCCTGGTGGACCCGCAGCTGGTGCCAGGAGGGGGAGCCACCGAGATGGCCGTGGCCCATGCACTGACAGAGAAGTCCAAGGGCATGACTGGTGTGGAGCAGTGGCCCTACAGGGCAGTGGCCCAAGCTCTGGAAGTCATTCCCCGGACGCTGATCCAGAACTGCGGCGCTAGTACCATCCGTGTGCTGACCTCACTGAGGGTAAGAGCTGGGCAGGGATTGTCCCCCTGTGCTGGGCACTGGGGAGGGGACACCTGGAATCCTGGGGGCAGGTCTGGGCCCCTCAGGACAAGAAGGACATGGAGGGGCTGGAGTGTGTCCAGGGAAGGGCAACGGGGCTGGGGAAGGGGCTGGAGCACAAGGGTGAGCAGGAGCAGCTGAGGGAGCTGGGGGTGTCCAGCCTGGAGAGCAGGAGGTGAGGGGAGACCTGCTGGCTCTGCAGCTGCTGAGAGGAGGTTGGAGCCAGGGGGGTCGGGCTCTGCTCCCCAGGAACAAGGGATGGGACAAGAGGAAAGGGCCTCAAGTTGCCCAGGGGAGGTTGAGGTTGGATCCTGGGAACAATTCCTTCCTGGGAAGGGTTGTCAGGCCC